AATCATCCTTTCTATGGTTTAAAGGAGTTTTTTAAATTTATAAATGTATATGTCTATGTATGTCTGTGATTTTAGTGCATAAATTACATGGAGAAGTGTGTCATTAGGTATATTTTCTGTCACCAGGAGGATGCCTCTGGCAGTGTGTTGTAGAGACGACAAAATAGACTGCATGGATGAGCTGAAAATACACAAGGCTCTATTTTTGTTATTTATTGTGTGTGTTTCTGGAAAAAGCTTTAGTGCAATTGATTTTTAAATCTATAAAAAACAGTAGTATCTGATTATCTCACTTGAGATAAATATAAAATAATTTAGTCTCCTTCATGATCTTTAAAGGCTGGAGAATTCTTAAGAAAACGGCTGCTTGAATTTAGGAAGAATTGATGCAAAAAACAATGCTATTGGTTACCATACTTCGGGGGCCAGATTTTCAGTGAAGGAGCAGTGCTGTGTGTCACGCTACATAAGGCCATCCAAGGGCACTATTTGTTGACTTTTAAAAGAGAATATAATACTTCACTGTTACAAGAGGTATAAACTGGTAAAAGATTATATGAACAGTTTCTTCCCTGTTTTTAAAGATTATTTAAAGAGGACTGTCTTAGAAATGCCCCTAGATTGTGACATATCTGATTGCAGTTTTTCTTTGGTAGAGCTAGCATTAATTATTGTCGCTGCTGTAATCTGAAGACTAAGGCAAATGCAAACTGAAAGGAGTGAGAGTGATGAAGATTTTTGCCCTAAAACTTCCGTGATCACAGCTGACAGGGTTACATTCCTAGATTAAAATTCTCTTGAATGATGATATGGTTTTGCAATGATGTCTTAAGTTCTCACAGATGGTGTAGTAAATACGGAATCCTACAAAATGCAAGGGGAGGAGTGTACTGATTTATACAAATACCTGTTTCTTCTCATGTTTTTTCTCTGTATTCCGAGCAGTGATGTATGGAGTATCCATTCTTGGTGTCATGGAGCACTTTTTTTGTTTTAGTTTTAATTTTCATTATGATCTTCTTAACTTTTCTATGTATTTCTGTTTTCAGACATATGCTACAACAGTAATGATTTTGTAACGTGTTTTTTCCCAAGGAACCCATGTTGCTGAGCTAACTAAAGAAAATGCAAGGGATTTTTTCTCACACCTTTGTGTGAGTTAAAATGAGAATAATTTGTATCATTCACATGTCTATGAGAATGGTGAATCATACATCAGTGAGTGAATGAAATTAAACAGGTGCAGACTTAGAAGCAGAAACTAATACGACGTTGGCAGACACACAGCTTCATGTTGTAGTTATATGATGCTTCCCTGCTGCTACTGTATGATGTCAGTAAAATTAAATACTGAATGTGTTTTGTCACCATCTATTCTTGCTTTTTTAAGTGAAATAAGAGCTTTCATAAAACAATTTTTAAAGTAAGTTTCTTTTGAAATCTAATGAGAAATGTTAAATGCATATCACTCTCATATTCACAGGTTACTTCAATGAACACTTTTGTCTGAAGACATAGGGCAGCGATCCACTACTAGTAAATTCATACTATGGCCTACATTTGCTGTATAATACCCTGATGAATAAATGTAATGCAGACGCAAAGAGAATTGATATGATTCTTTTGAGTGTGACTGGGTCATCTCCTACAGAAATAGACAGGCAGCTCAACACAGAGCGCTGCTGAGACTTAGTGAACTTAGTGTCCAGTTCTGGCCTGTGCTTTAAAACTAGAAAGCCTTTAGCCAATTTCTTGGATACATAATATCTATGAAAACCTTAAACACTTTTATCTACTTATGCAGGAAGGTTAAGAGAGGACCTATTTATAGACAGGTGCCCAGAGGTGGACTTAAAATTTTACAGGACTTTAACCTAACATTACACTATCCCATAGTCAGGGGTGGAAGCTAAAGCAAGACAAAATGCATTACTTTTTTACAATGAGAGTACCTAACATTGCTATGAGTCATCTTAGTTCTCGCTACCCCCCAAATGCCTGAGTTTGTATAATACAAATAAAATTGTCTTCGTTCTGAACTACTGTACTGTGCTCTTGGACCTAAAGAATACAGGTTACCTCCATATGTGCTGAAATATCACGGAAGGTACTGGACATGACTTCTGACTACACATTAATTTTTTTTTTTCTTCACCTCTACTAATTCTATAAAGAATTGTTATGTGAATTAAAGTAGTTATATTCTCATTGCTTTGGGAAGTAAAGCTTCCTTATGACTGTCTGGTTAACTATAGAGATAATTTTTTTTCTTTAGAGCATACAGTGGATGTGTCCAAAGTTAATTTGCATTTTAGAGTACCTTTCTGCTTCAGTTTTGTGCTACTTGCCTCACCCCAGAAGAGAAGAGGTTAGGAAGACATTTCAACTTGGAGAAGCTGTTAAAAAATTGGGGGGTTCTTATTAGCCTTTTCAAACTGTAGTGATCTTCCAGGACTGTTTCAGAAATACTTCAGCCATAAATCATATTGTCTTGAAAGCGCTACTGGCCTGCCAGCATTGATGAATAA